TTTGTTCATTCCATTAATAGCCCTTATTTAAAATAAAAGTAGGTGAAATAATGTTAAAATTCACAAAAACATAGTTATTACTATAATTACCTTGTAATTTTTAGAATTAATTTAGGGGTTCATCTCATATTATTGCATGTTATGCTTATAAAGAACTCTGCTTTTCAATATTCATAAGGTTTACTGATTTGGTTAACTTGGTTATTAATAACTGAAACATTGTAACTCTAGGATATTCCAGGTCCTTTGGGGACTAGTAAAACTACCTGTTTAATCTCTTAAACCAGAAATCTTTAAATTATTATAAGGTGTAATTCCTTTGCCTTAACGCTCCATAGTCAATCAGATGACCAAGGTCACCTTTTTTTTAAAAAGGTGGAGATGGCCATGGGTAAGGCCATAAGGATATCTATGTATACATAAGATGAACTCTATACAAAATGGAGACTTATGTTAATACATTGTGTGCCTGCTCTGTGCTAAAGATGTCACATGTGTTATCTAACTTAACTCTTCCAGGAATTCTATAAAATGTTATTACTACTCCCAGTTTTCAAACAAGAAAATCAAGTTTCAGAACATGTAATAATTTTCTTATGTTGACTATTAGTTAATGTTATGTTACACATAATGGAATCCATTTTAGGTAGTTTAAGCAGAAAGGGAATGGTTCTTTTAAAATTATTAAAAGGACTGGAGAAGAATGCTTTAGACTGAGCCCCAGGAACAACTTTCAGCTCCAGAACTTTTTATCCCGTCCCAGTAGAGCAAGTTACTGTTGCTGCTGCTTCCTCTATAGGACTGATGAGTCAGAAGCTGCTGGCTTCAGACCTCTGGCTGTAATCCACCTCAGTGAAATGCATGCCCTACTCCCTGCTTCCCTCTGCCTGTGATGCGTGTGAATCAAAGTCTCATATAACGTTTTTAGATTCCACATATAAGTGAGGTCATATGATATTTGTCTTTCTGTGCCTGGCTTTTTTTCACTTAACAGGATGTCTTTTAGATTTATGGGTGTTGCCATAAATGAAATAATTTCCCTGTTTTATAAGGCTTAATTGGTGGAAGAATAAGCTTTAGTGATCTATTGCACAGGAAGATGACTACAATAAATAATGCAGTCAGCCATGGTGGTTCACAACTATAATCCCAGCAGTTCGGGAGGCCAAGGCAGGCAGATCCTCTGAGGTCAATAGTTCGAGACCAGCCTGGCCATCTCTACTGGAAAAAAAAATACAAAAATTAGTCAGACATGATGATGGGCACCTGTAATCCCAGCTACTCAGGAGGCTGAGGTAGGAGAATTGCTTGAACCCAGGAGGCAGAGGTTGTAGTGAGCCAAGATTGCGCCATAGCACTCCAGCCTGGATGATGAGTAAAACTCAGTGTCAATAAATAAATAAATAAATAAAATAATAATGCATTGTATATTTCAAAATTGCAATTTAAAATGTTTTCATTACAAAAAATGTTAAGTATGTGAGGTGATGGAATTATTAGCCATCCATCATTTAATCATTCCACCTTGTAAACATATATCAAAACAGCACATTTACTTATATAAATATATACAATTATTTTTACAAATTAAAAACAAAATTTTTAAATGTCTCATGTAAGTTAACCAGAGGGTAACCTAAACACAAATAAAAGCCTTAGAACTATAATTTTAAGCTTTCTGGCTTCAGCATGTTAGAAATAATTAAAACTGATATGTTATTTGCTTCAGTTATATAATTAAAAATTGGAAGAGTCAGAACAGAATATTTACAACTGGAACTCTGCCAAAAATTTGGATGATATGAGCACTTTGGCTATAGATTGAAAGTGTTACATTTATTAAGACAGGGAATTCTTCACCAAATAGTTATTGATCATCACATACATAGAGATGAGTTTTAAGAGTGAGTCACAAACATATGCATGTATTATAAGAAACATACAATCTAAAATATATGTATTATATATAATGTAAAATTTATATAAAATATTTTATATATTATACATAATATATAATGTATATAAAATATATAAATATTTTATATATTACACAATATATAACAAAATATATAAATATATATAACATATAATTATATAATTTAAATAATATATTAAATATAACACATTTTATATATACATTATATATTATATATTATATATAAACATATAATATATAAACATATTAATATATAATATATAATTTATATAATGTATAAATAATATATGTTTTGGGATCATTATCAGTAGAAGCAGAGTCTGAAGTGTGTTATAATCATGATATTGTCACACTGAACAGGAGTTAAGTGCAGCTAGAGATTGATTCTTCTTGATATATGTGAGGTTAAATCCGCACAAGCTGGAAGCTGGGGGTAAAAAACAAGGAAAGCACCATGGGAGACCTGACGCTTCAGCTGTACTTTAAAGATGCTATGAACAATCGTGCTTATTGTGTACATTGTTAAATAATTTAAAATAGTACGTGTCAAGCACTGTTCCAGGTGCCTTCACATATATTCATTCTCGTTTAATCTTCATACCAACTTTTCAATGTAGATATATTATAACTCACATTTTACAAATGAGGAAACTGAAGTCCAAAGAAACTGAAGTTGTAATAACCTACAAAAATTATGAAGCTAACAGCTGAGAATTCTAGTCTTAAGCTAAATATTTGCCCCCAAATCTCATCCACTTTCCTAATATTTTCCTACTTACTCAATTTCCAATGAGGCGGGTTTAAAGGTTAAAATATGGTATTGTTGGAAGATAGTGAACCTGAAGGAGTGGATTAGAAGCACCTGGAAAAAGATATCAGAGAAATTCTTCTATGGATCATAAAATATAGTGTGACTTGCTTTGATGAAAGAATGAGAAACATAAAAGGGAAAAAGCAGAGGGGTGGTTTTCTGGGTAATAAACTTAATCAAACTAGTTCTACAGGAACTTACTGCTTCCTAGTGGCACAGGGAGTCTTAAAATAAATGGCAGGAAAACTGAGGCAAAATATATTTAATACTTCTGTTTACATTTTCTGACTGTGTTAACTCAGACATCTCAATCAATTCAATTTGTGAGTGGCATTGATGTGGATGGAAGAAAAGTAAAAGTTATATTTATGGAGTAATACTTGAAAATTTAAATGTGGAGTAAACATTTTGTATTTTATTCAATTCCACCATATATCATATTTAAGTAGAAAATGAGCTTTGTTTATGTTATTGATTTCAAAATATAAACACTTGAGTTTTTACAATGATACATTTATTCCATGCATCACCACTGAGATTTGCTTCAATTTGACTAATATTTATCAAATGGCATACTGGTGAGCAAGAAACAGAAAGCAATTCCTGCACAGGTTTTTGAGTAGAATTAAATGTTACAACTATTAACAGAGGTCAGGCAAGGTGAAAACAACCAGCAAGAGATATTGAGTGACTTAAGGATGAACAGTGCAGAAACCCAGTGGCAGCTGCATCCTTGGAAGGAGTGCCTCTGTTACTGGAGTTGTAGCTATTGCTCCAGAAACCGAACCAGCCAGGGAGTAAATCGCTTGTCTTCCCTTTGATTGCAGCCTTCAGTTCCCCTACTAGTGCTTCTCTTTGGCCCAACCAAATTGGAAGCCAGAGGCCAACAGAGCCAGGGGGATACAGTCCACAGGATCAATTTTTCTCACTTCCTTAAATGAGTGTGCAAAGAATAGAAAACTGGGGACTAGGAATGAGAAACAGTTACCTGTACAAGGGCCTATCAGGCACTGTGGTAGGTATTGTAGGTACAATGATGAGTAAGGTTAGTTTCTGCTCTAAAGGAACTCACAACATAGTGAGGAAGTCAAGCATATAAATATGATAGATATCTGTTATTTGAAATCAAAAGGTACTGTAGAGGAGTCCAGATATTTAGTCAACTCACCTTGTCCCTGCCTCACTTTATTAGTGGCTACCATTCATTTGGTAGAAGTACTAGAGGTTGACGATTAGGATTTGTAGAAACTGAAAAATGCCTTTATAGAATTTATTGTATATTCATAATTTCTTAATAAGATAAAATTCAGAAATTGCAAGATTTTTATTGGTAAAGATGAAACTATTTCCTCATGTGACCCCTTTTTTCTTCATGCCCCTTTATGCTGCAGATGTGTTAATCATCTTTCAGTCTTTGGAGTGCTGTTGTCTCTCATGATTTTTGTCCTTTCCTCTCCCTGCAACCCCCGACCCTCACTATTACCTACCACTTTTCATCTGTCTGATTGCTCCATGTGTTAGCCTAAATGCCTCTCCTGCTAGGCTAGAATATATCTCTGACTATCCTAGCCATCTGCCTGCCATTTGCTTTCATGGTACACTTTTCCTTTCCTGTATCTTCAGGCTATAACTTGTAATATAATTGTTTTTATCTTCCATACTTATCTCTAAACTATTGATTGGAAGAATTATGTCTATTGGTATTGTTTTGTTGACCATTATATCCTCATATATAATCACAGTGCCAGGCATAGAATAGAACACAAGAAACAATAAATAAATAGATACATTAAGTAAGGAAAGACTGATATAATTACTGATGACATATAGTGACTAACATCAGAATAAATGTTTCATGTTGGTGATTAGTAAAATATAAGGCTGGGCTGGTATAGATGGAGAGAAGATGTTATTAAGATTTATGAATGCTAGAATAATTCTAAAGTAATAAAAATAATGAATAGGTCCTATTTAATTCAAATCAAGAATTCTTAAGTAGTTGAGTAATATTATAAGAGCAATATATGAGGACTGCTAGTCAGGTATTTTAAATAACTTTGAAGGTGGCTTAGCTGAAAATGGTAAACAAATTTTGGACTCCCACTTAAAAGAGATAGGGTATACAGTTGGAATGGCTCTTTCTGATTTTTTTTTTTTTTGTATATTTAGTCTCAATTTAATGAAATTTTATAGAATTTTCTCTGGTACACTGTATTTCATTATCTAGCCAGCACATGCCTCAATGATATTTAATACTCTCATTTGTCTTAAAAATTTCGCATTTGTTTTTCACCTAATTTTTATGTAGACCTATACTGCAGGAAGGTATTGAGAATTTCAGCTCAGACATATATTGATGGAATGATATTCCATTAGTTTGCTGATGGGGGTCACGATATAGCATGGAGGGACACAAAAATTCAACAGCACTAAAGAAAGTGTCTTGAGATGCAAATCAATGGCAAAAGTTACAGTAATATCATTATTTAATCTCTCGTGAATCTATTGATTCACTCTTGTAATGAGAAATTAGCTATTATAGACTTAGGAGGCAAATATTGGAAGAAGATTGTAAAATGATCAACATTATTAATATCAATAGTAATTGATAATCACTAACATATATATTAATACTAGTTAATGCTTAAAGCAATATATATCAAGTATTCTGTTCCTCTTTTAATTTTTTTTACTTTTCCCATGTTGTGATTTATTTCAGAATCCAGGCCTATAGATCAGTGATAATAACAATAGGACTGTGATAAATGTCATGGGAATGGCATCCTGCATAGGATACTGTCTTCTCCATAAGGCAGTAGGGCTCAGCGGAGCAGGAGACATTAGCCACCCCTCAAGGTCTTTTTGATAGCATTCTTGACTTCCTGGTTCCTTAGGCAGTAGATGAATGGATTTAGCATGGGTGTGAGGACTGCATACACAGCTGAGATTAGTTTGTTGGAATTAAATGATGCAATAGCTCTGGGCCGAACATATGTAAAAATCATGGCTGTGTAAAAAATTATGACTACAGTGAGGTGAGATGCACAGGTGGAGAAGGCCTTCTTCCTTCCCTGGGTGGAGGGTATATGCAGAATGGTGGAGACAATGTAGATATAGGAGAGGACAGTGGTAATGAGAGGGAACACAAGAATGACAATAGCTAAAGCAAAGTCCACTAGCTCAGCTGTGGACATGTCTTTGCATGCCAGTTTGAGGACTGGTGAGATATCACAGAAAAAGTGGTTCATAACATTGGAGCCACAGAAAGCAACATGTGAAATGAAATAGACCTTGATGACAGAGATCATGAAACCACTCATGTAAGAGAAAGCCACCAGCTGTCCACAGTAACCTGTGGTCATGATGACTGAGTATCGAAGAGGGTGGCAAATGGCCACGTAGCGGTCATAAGCCATGGCTGCCAGGAGCACACACTCTGTGCAGGCAAGTGAAATAAAGAAGTAGAGCTGGGTCATGCAACCTGTGAAGGAAATGCGCTGTTTCTGCAGGAGGAATCCGTCCAGCATCTTGGGGACTGTGACAGAGACATACCAGACCTCCAGAAAGGACATGCTACTCAGGAAATAGTACATTGGCTTATGGAGGGAGCTAGTGACCCAAATAGTGAGCATGATGACAAGATTCTCCACTACCACTAACAGGTAGACCACAAGGAAGAGGAAGAAGAGCAGAACCTGAAGCCATGGGGCAGTGGGAAAGCCCACCAGGATGAACTCACTGACCAGAGTAATGTTTACCTGCAGCATGATTAAAAGCACTGAAAACATTGGAGTCTTTCCTTGTAACATTACAAATAATGAAGATGACTATGGCATGAAACGTAAGTCAAAAGTATGTTAATAATTCAGTCTTCCCTGTGAATGAGATGCGTAAAATAATTTATGTTAATGGGAACACATCTTCAAAGGTGAAGCAAACATTTTCATTAATTCTTTTTTAAGTGCACTTCCATCCCAACTCTCAAGTACTTGATGACAATGATTGGAATCTCAATATTTACATCATTCCTAGCTCCTTTGGGAATGAACATAGACCCATTTGTCTCTCCCATGTTGATTTCAGTTATCCATTTCATTAGGAGCCCACTGCACAAACATTTGTTCTTACCTGAAAGGAAACATAAATGATAATATCAAGTCAGAAAGTTAAGAAGTTTAATATTTGGGTGATCCCTGGGCCTTGAACTAGGATAGTTTATTTAGAGTCTGAGGAATTTTAAAATTATAGTAACTATTGGAAAATTTCTTAATGACTCTTGCATTGACTTCATATTAAAATGCAGAGGTTTTAGTTATCATATACAGGAGGCACTTCATATTTTGATCCTTACCTATTTCTCCAACTTCATCTCCTGTGACCCTCTAAGTGGTAGTCCATGCTCCAGACATACTGGATTAGTTTTTGCTCCCCAAGCACACTGTCATCTCTCTGACCTCCTCGGCTCTCCATACTCTCTTTCCAATTCCTATTGCACGCTCCCTGATCTTTATCTGCTGATTCAAGATTCATAACTCCATTTAGGAGGCATCTACACGGACTGGGTCGAGTGCATCATCAACATTTTCTTCCCAGTGAACAGCCTTCACATGCATCAAGTTTTTTCCCTGTTGCGCTGCAAACTTCCAAAACTCGAGAACTTGTCCTTCATGACTGTGAGCCAAATGCCTAGAACAGTGACTGGGAAACACATATGTTTTAATTGAATATGAACTAACAGGTGGATTAATAAATCCTGTGGTGCTTTGGGAATCACAGGAAATAGGTCAGAGAGAGAAGGAAGTGATTATCTTGGTCTACACTGGCAGGAAGCATGTATCTGTACACTGCCTATCTTTGAAACATCCACTGTTTGCATACCCAGGACACTTTAATGACAAACACATCCCTAATGTCTGAGCACATTATATCTGAGCCTTGGTGTTAACTCACTTGGTAGGTCCGTGTTTCTAAGTATCAGCTATTTTTTTTCATGCTCTTGTCCAGAAAGGTACGGAGAGGAAGGAAGGAACATGAATACTGAGGGATAGGTAGATCTTGTAATGCTGGAAGGCAGACATTTTTTGGTGACCTAGACCAACTAGCTTACTAATTGATTTTGTTAAATGTCCCCTATTCTTAAAGCATAAATTCAGGTGCTGCATTCAGACCATTGTTCATTTTTTCTGACAATTTCTCGTCCACTCTGTTCTTCTCTTGGCACGGAAAGAGTGGTAGGTCAATCAGGGTTCACTCTGATCTTCCCCTGGACTAGAGAGATTCTGGGCATAGCTCATGGGAAGGAATAAATGATGGGGTGTTAAATGCATATTACTGGCACCACTGTCTCTTTTCCATAGCAGCACACACTGGCAGAGCTCAGGACTCTTTGCTGGGTGGGAAAAGATTGTCCCTTACTCCCAGCCTCCAAGCTGCACTTTACTCATAGTTTACTAGCAAAGAGTTCCTGGCCTAGTTATTCAATACCTTTGATCAAATGTTTTTCTTGGGGAAAAGAAACTGTTCTGGGAGCAGAGAGTATCTAGCTTTACTCATGATCTAGCCCCAGTAGGAAGCATCACCAATGTAGAGGCTTCTACTCTTCAGGACTTTTGTAACAATCCACAATTCCATCATCAGCCACACAGTGTACCAAAAATTCACCTCTGCATAGAATTTAAGAACACTGATTTAGAGTCAGAACAATATTTCAGTCTTATTTTCATTTCACAATAGTTGTGTCATACCAAACAGATCACTTAACAATTACATAATTCCATATCCTCTCCTGCAAAATGAGAAAAGCTATAATAACAACTACCTTACTAGATTCTGTTGTGATAATTAAATATGAGAATGCATGGAGGACTTTTAACATAGGACTTGATCCAAAGTTGTTCCCTACAAGCATGAATTGTTATTATATCATATTAGACCCATACATGTCTACTTATTTAGATATGCTCACATGTTTTCACTCACATATATTCATAAACACAGTCATTCTCTCTTTACTCTCTTTTCCTGTTATATTCTGGGGAATCAAATAACCCCAGATTTCTGGAGAACAGGATTATAGACCACTTATGCTTTTTTCCTAGTTCACACTTTAATAAATTGTTTTTATTGCTTAAACATATCCATGTTTCCTTCACATTTTCCTCCACTTTTTAATGCAAATGTACTTCTAGAATGCTCTAGTTTGAAGCATGTGAGGATAAAGAACACTCTCATTCTAATGTCTTTGTTTTAGATCCAAAGTCTTGAACTATGGGCTCCCTACAGTATCCTAGGGGAAGAAAAACGCTTTATTATACATAAGACTTCTTTTTTACAGTTATGATCATACTTGTACTCAAGAGACAATATCAATTCTTAAGACTACTTCAAGAACAAGCAACATATCCCTTAGGTACTTGTCCAACATTCAGAAGATCTGGAGCTGCACCAATTTCCCCAGCTTGGAGTAAAGATGTACTAGATCTTATTTCCCATTTGCCTCACCAAAATACTCTTTATCTGTTCAGTAATGATACCTCCAGTTATTTTCCCAAGGTCTTCCTCATCTTCTTTGGAGTGTTCTTCAGAAATCAGCCAATCTGTCTTTGTGTCTCTTACCACTCATCATGGTCTGTCCGTCCTTACTCTGAGAATACAAATTTCTTCAGACATTTGCACTGATCATGAGAAAGCAAACTAGTCTACAGATTTGTATACTTTCTATAGAAGTGTGTATGGCCCTTGCTTGCTCTACATGGTAGTTATTGCAGCTCTAAGGCATGAAAACATGAGAAGGGACAGAATAATATATTCAGCTCTAGCCTACTCTTTCCCCATGTCTTCTCCCCAGGGACCAACTTACACTATCTTCCCTAGCTCTAGGGAAACTTGGTGTGTACTGCCAAGATATGTCCAGGGGACCTGGGAAGCTGAATCACCATTCATGTCTAAATTCTTGTTTAATCCTGAATGAATGTTATTTGTACCTATGAGTATGGTGTGGTCCTTTTCTCTTAGACTTACATGCAAGGTGATATAGCAAGTGACTCTGAAACCACAATAAGAAGCATAAGTGGGTTAAAGGTAATAGAGACTTTTTTTTTTGAGACAGAGTCCCACTGTTGTCGCCCAGGCTGGAGTACAGTGGTGTGATCTTGGCTCACTGCAACCTCTGCCTCCCAGGTTCAAGCAATTCTCCTGCCTCATCCTCCTGAGTAGCTGGGACTACAGGTGCTTGCCACCACGCCCAGCTGATTTTTTTGTATTTTTTAGTAGAGACGGGATTTCACCTTGTTAGCCAGGTTGATCTCCATCTCCTGGCCTTGTGATCCACCTGACTCGGCCTCCCAAAGTGCTAGGATTACAGGTGTGAGCCACCTCATCCAGTCTTTTTCATTTTTTTTTCTCATTCTTTATATAAAATATGCTCCCTGCTTTCACTCATCTTGTACTATGTATAGGGCAGTGTGCTATACATTCCCTGGAATAAACACATATGTCCTGATCCCTGTATTTTGGGAGCCTATGATGTTTTCAGTAAAATAAGAAATATTTAGTATAGTTAAGATAGAAAGTGACATGTGCCATAAGAGAGGTACAAACAAAATGCTCTGAGAACTCCAACGAGGGACAAATTTGTTTTAACTGAAGAACTTGGGGAAAATTTCATCTAATAGATGTTATTTCAGACTCATGGAAGAAAGATAATTTGGAAGTAGTATTATGGAAAATAACTTTTATACACCAATTAAAATACTTGGTTTCTAATCTGGATTTCACTAACTTTTTTGACAATTGACCTCAGAAGCTTGTCTTTATTCCTTAATTTATTCATCCATTGAATGGGTTAGCAATGTTTTCCTTGTCAATATTTCCACTGTCAACAATTGACAATGTTTTCCTTGTCAATATAATATTGTCAATATTATATAATTTATATTAGCATGAAAAGTTATAGTATAAGGAGAGTGATATCAGCTAGATGGCAGAGTAGGAGATCTCTGTCTTTGACTCCCGCAATAATTAGACAGCTATCCATGAAAGTAGCTCTGGGAGAAGTCAGGAGTCCATTTTAAAAGGTGTAGCAACTCAGTGCAGCAAAAAATTATCAGAATAGTTACACAGAAAGGTTAGTAAAAATATCATTTTGTTGGCATCCCATTCCATGAGTTTCACTCACAGAAGAGGAGAGCAGGGAAACCAACCAGCACCCTCACCATTTTGGAGCACTGCCTGAAGGACCCACGTCTGTTCCACCCCACTAGTTTGCTGGTGAGACTGGGATGGCTGAGACATCTGGATATGGCTAGGAGTGAAGAAGGGTTGAGGCTACCAGCATTTGTGATGCAAGGGGAGCCTCTGCAGTTCCAGGTAACCTGTTCTGACCCCAGCAACTTTTGTTGTTCAGGACAGCAACAGTGTTTGCAGCTGTCATACACCCTCTGCAGCTTTCACTATTGAGGACCCCACAGTGTTTGTAGTCATGGACCTCAGCCGCCTTCTTCACAGAGGATCCCCCATAATTTTTGTCACTAAGTGTGCTGTAGTTTCCACCCTTGCAGAGCTGAGCTGTCACCCTTCACTCACTTCTCACCAAAAGCTGCCCCAGGTGGTGATGCCGTGGGCCTTGCAGCTAATCCCATAGCTGTGTGTGTGCATGCAGCTGACTGACTCCTACTACAAGCCCTTACCACTGTCCAGGCACCTGTGGATGACTCCTGCAGCCTTATATGCTCTTATATGTGCTGTAGCTTGATGTATGCTCACTACTGGTCTCCATACATATGTCTATGATTGGTTATGGCCCCTGCCACTTGCCCAGGCCCTTGCTACTAGACTCAGTGGCACTGCTAAAAGGACCCCAGCAGCCCTAGCAGTCACTTTGAATAGCACTCCCATCTGAATAACCCAGGTGGATCCAGTACTCCCACCTCTTGTACCAATGCAAGAGGTTAGGAGCTTCTCTAGATACTGTACAAGCAAAAGGGAATTATACAAGACTTGTATTATATAAGCAATACTTTGAAAGATTGGCAGATTACAAAGATGTTCAAAACAAATAGGATCATATGAAACATGGATAAAATAAAGTTCTGTATGTAGGTTTATGGGAAAAATCAGTTACATAAATGGAGGATGAGGAATACTTAATCTGATAATCAATACTTCATGTGAAAAAGCTTAGGAGGTTTTGTGACCTCAATTTAAATATGAGCCCTGAGGGTCATATGTTTACTAAAAATTCAGTTCAAGTCTAGAGAGGTGTAAATCTCACCATAATACACAAGACTCAAACTCATTCATGGTTTATTGAAAGATGAATATATGAGGAACACTGTCCTAAACCCTATTCCAACACCTGAAATCAGAATTAGAGGTGTTTTAAAGCATTTTATACTAAAAAGCTTGGAAAATAAAAGAAAAGCACAGTGAAGAAATGCAACATTATGCTTTCATTTCCTATGAACTGGAGTTAACCTAAAAGGGAAGTTTATATCATAGCTGTGATCACAGTGCCTAGAGGAGGACTCTCCCATCACCAATTACAACCCCTTTTCAGAAACTTCTTCTGTGGGGACACTTGGACAGCGGACATTCGATGAACTTCATATCCAGTCGTTTTAGAAATTATTACAAGATACTTATACTGTTTTGACACAAATATATATGCATATTATATTAAAATTTTAATAAATGTGGGCTAGCAAATAACACATGATATCCTTGGTAGTATCCTTTTGTAAACTTTATTAAGTAACAGACAACAATGAAGTTAGATCCCACATCTTGAGCAACAGTTGGATCCCGTATCTGAAGATAGAATCATTGTCTTCAGAGATCTGGTTGTTGGGTGATGGTAAGGAGCTAAATTTCTGAAAATCATACTGACATACTCTGTATCCATCTCCCTGTCCAAATGAATAAAGTTATGTATAGTATACACTGAGACAAAACTATTTAAATAAATATCTTGATGGCAATGCTTTGCCACAGAATACAATTTACAGGAGTAAGGAGTCCAGCATAGCTACAGTCAACATTTTAGTCAAATTCCTTCTAGTCTTGTTTAAACAAGCAAATATGGCTGATACTTATGACACTGTTATATAACATATTTTTATGAAGTTAGAAAAATATTTTTTCTTTTATTAACTCTATTTAGATCACTTTATTTCAATTTATGCATAGTTTTCCATGTATACATTTTCTATGAGCTACAATTTACTTAACCAGTGCCCTGTTTGCAAAAGTTAAGCATATTTTGCTTATTTCCTTTCCTTGTTTCTGTATTTATAAGTAAGTGTCTATCTGCACAAATCTTTCTGAATCAGAATGGTTGCAATATTTTTAGGATTTGTAATATGTATTTTCAAAATTTTTTCTGTTAAGGCTGAGACAATTTGGATCTCTCTGCACACTAGTAAAGTATGAGGGGTTTAGTTCCTGCACCTGCCAAACCCACATATAAGCATGACACACATGCCTTGCCTACATCGCTCCAAACTATATTCATTCATTGTGTGTATTCATAGCCATCATGCACTAGATACTGTTCCTGCCCATGGTGATAAAATGATGTGCAAGCAAATCTGATCCTGTCTCCATACCGCTTATAGTCTAATCAGGGAGACAAAGTGTTGAAGAAACAACTGTTCTCAGCCACCAGTTCAATGTGGACACTGACCACAGTAAATTAGAAAATAAACCTAGAAACTGCTATGTTTCATCAGGTGATATATTTCAAATACAAAAATTCCTAGTTTCTTATCTCTCTGTAACAGGCACTGGAATGACTACTGCCTGGGCGCTGCTACCTAATAGGCTACAGCCAGTGGCCTGTGGCTGGAAGAGATCTTATTAAAAAGTCTTGTGTTGCTTTTCCATAATGAAGCCTGTGATTCCTTGATTGGAACCATGTCTATGCAAATTACAATGGGGCAGACAATAGTGGACCAAGCTCTATCCTGCATTTTATGGCCCTCTTCTGCAGAAACCCATTTTCTAGCTTGCAACCTACCCCACCTTCTCCTCTTGGACAGGTTACAAGCAAGTATTCCTAGTTCCTTAGGATGGTTTTGAAACTCTGGCCTCCAATTTAGGCCCTAAGAACGCCACTGGACTTCATAGAACACATCGATCCCAAGTTTAATAGTGTTTTATCAGATTTCACACATCCCTGCTACATATTTCTGCTAGTTTTCTTGGGGTCAGCATCCTGGCCCTGGTACAGGTGCAGAGTACGGCGTAGGGCTCTCTTGACCTCTTGGTTGCGCAAGCAGTAAATGATGGGATTGAGCAATGGTACAATGACTGCATAGAGTACAGAGACCAGCTTGTTCGTGTCAAAAACAGAGAGTGCCTTTGGCCGGGCATAGATGAAGATACTGGCTGCATAGAAGATTATCACAACAGTGAGATGAGAGGCACAAGTAGAAAAGGCCTTATAGCGTCCAGCAGCTGAAGGAATGTGCATCACAGCACCAGTAATGGCCACGTAGGAAGCCCCAGTGACAGAGAGTGGTCCTAGAAGAATACAAATGGCCAGTATAAAATCTATAAGCTCTGCTGTGGACATGTCAGTGCATGAGAGGTTGAGCAATGGGGAGACATCACAGAAAAAGTGGTTGATGATGTTGGGGCCATAGTAAGAGAGACGAGAAATAGGAAAAACTTTGACCATGGAGATGCCAAAACCTCCAGCCCAAGAGCCAGCAGCCATCTGCACACACAGCCGGCCACTGACTATGACTGGGTAGTGGAGTGGATGGCAGATGGCCACATAGCGATCGTAGGCCATAACTGCAAGAAGGACACACTCAGTGCAGCCCAAGCCCAGGAAAAAGTAGAGCTGTGTCATGCAGCCCTCAAAGGAGATTAGCTGTCCATGATCCTGTTTGGACCCAACAAAGCCAGCAAGCATCTTGGGAATAGTGACAGTGACGTACCAGATCTCCAGAAAGGACATATTAGCTAGAAAGAAGTACATGGGCTTGTGGAGGGTGGAATGGTTCCTAATTGCCATAATAATGAGTGTGTTCTCAGTCAGCACCAGTACATAGGCCAGCAGCAAAAGGGCAAACAATAGTACCTGTAGTGGCGCAGGAGCAGGGAAGCCCAGCAACACAAACTCACTCACTCTCCCACTGTGGTTCCTCCACTCCATGGGACTAGTCTCTCCCACTGCTCTTCAGGAGAGAAGAATAGAGAGTCTTCAGTAGGCTGCAACAAGAACCCCGCCTGTCTCTGAATGGGTTTATACTGGTCGAATGCCATGTAAGAAGTTCATGTAATTAATCACTGAGCTGAGGCCACTGCTCTCTTCTTTAATCTGAAAATGAGCTAAGGTAAACATACAAAAATAAACAGTTTTGTATTGGGAACAAGAACAGACTCCTGACCTTTGGAGAAGCATGCATTGACAAGCACTGGATGAAAATGACACTAGTGTGTCCCCAAAGAACATAGATTAAAAACCAAAAACTAGAAAGAGTCTGGACTGCTCTAAAATCAGAGTTTGTCTATGAGTTGGATCATGACTCTGTTTTGAGGAAATCTGTTACACAATGGAGGAAAAATAATCATGTATAACATAATTGAATTATACTATTATTACTATTAGTGCAGGCACTGTTGTGAAATGTTTGCAGTATTAATTTGCTTGATTGTAGTAATCTTGTAGGCTAGTACTACTAGTAGGCACAAGTTTATACCTAAAGAAACCAAAATATAGAATTAAGTGACTAATTCTGGGTTGCAGAAATAGCATGAGGTGGAACTAGGAAGTCAGGACCTTGGAGCTTCCAAAATATTTAGGTGACATAAAGGAAGGACTGTACAATACATTCTGGATTTACATCTGGGAGAGGGAGTCTTTGGGACTCCGTTAGAGAAACAGTTCCTTCCTGCCAGGAAGAGACCAAAGCAGAATACAAGAAGGTCACAGTAACTGTAGAGTAGAAGTCTATAGAACCCAGTACTTATGAGGAAGACCTGGAATTCATGGGGAAATCAGATTAGGAAACGGATGCTGGATGGCAGAAAGACTAAGAGTTCCAAAGTTCTGAAAATTGCACTAAGCATCTTGGAATGAGAGTTGAGTACTTTCCTTTAACATTAAGAACAGTATGAAAACATATGTTTACTAGGATACTCTTTGTTTACCTTGGTATCAAAGATAAAATTTTCCCTTTCCCTTTAAAAACTTCAAGCCATTTTTGTGTCTCATGTGGAAAAGAAGTTGACATTTCTAAATGGGAGCTGTTATGAAGGAAGGGTTATTTTTACCCTGTGCTCCAGTGCAGCTATAGCATTGGGAGAGAGTGTAGGGTTTAGAAAGGAGAATGGGGTAGAGTCAGCTGGACACCTCATTGCTGTTTCTTCTCAGATTTCTTAATTTTTTAAATTCTTTTTTTATACTTTAAATTCTGGGATACATGTGCAGAATGTGCAGGTTTGTTACATAGTTACATGTGCCATCGTGGTTTGCTACATCCATCACCCTGTCATCTTAATTTTTAGTCCTAGATATTTTCTCATCAGGGCAGAATGTGCTCACAAATCAAAACAACCTGCTAATGATTTTATATCTTTATATCTGAGTTTCTCTTCTCTTTATATTCTCCTGTTATTACTTGAGCATTACTCAGTACTTGAATCCTTGAAGTTTCTCTTAGCAATGTAACACAATTACAAAATACCTATGCTCTTGGCTTTCATTTCTTCATTTCCAATCACTTCCATTCTCATCACCACACCCACAATTTTATTTATGACCTTAGCTTTGATACTGTCTCCTCAATACCTGCCTTATACACCCTTCTTTGTGCTTTTGATCCTCTTAGCCTCAGACTTTCTTTCATTTCCTCTAGTCACTTCAACCTTCATGTTTGATGCTGTGTACACCTGAAAAAAATAGCCTTTCACACATGGACTCCTAACTGATCTTTCTGCTTACAGTCTCACCCTTAAAGGTGAGACCTGAGCTCAAAACAGACGATTTTACTCTCCTCCTTAAAGCTTGTCCATAGTGCCCCTTTGTGTACACAATAAATCTTCAAACCATTTAGCCTGCAGGTACAAGGCCTATAGGCACTTCATGATCTTTGCTCTGCTTTCACCTAAACCTTATTTCTTACCACAGTCTGTGCTGTATCTTATACCTTGCAGCTCTCAGCCCATTCCATGTGCATCACCTCATAGCTTTCCTCATGCTGCAATCTCCGTAAGCATGGCTAACTTTTATTTAGCCTTCAAATCTTGGCTCATGGGGCATCTCCCCATAGAGACATTAGTTACCCTTCTTTTTTCCTTTTTCCTTCACAGTTTTGGTAAGATTCCTATGGTTACTTGTCTCATTAGCATCTATGAAATCCTATATATCATTTTGTTTGCTGTATCACTGCAGCTATTGATCAGGTGGATATAAAGGAGGATCTTGGTAGCTGAAGTGGTTCCACATGTCCTTAATGGTGGAGGATAGAATGGATATAATTCCATGGATGTTACAGGGGTTCCACAAATACACTATGTCTAGAATAAGCTTTCCCAAGCAACTTATTTCTCTATTACAATAAATGGCATTAGCTTTCACACAGTCTCCTATGCAAGGCATCTGGAAGTTTCCTAGATATTTTATACCCATCCTCCCCTCCCCACAACTCACATCTCACACTTGACTAATCCAAGTTCTAGCCAAAATACCGCTTTAATTATCTCTCATATCAGTCCTCTTTCTTCTCCCTATTTCTACTGCCTTCCTCTTAGTTCCTCACAGCAGGTTCTTGGTATTTCTTGATTTAACTATTTCAATCGGATTTTACCTGGTCTTTTTTCCTCCAGCCTGTACTCTTATCAATTTAAGTTCTACTTGTTTTTAGAGTCATATTTCTCTGTAGAAACTGCTGACCACAATGGCATTCAGCTTTTGAGAACACATACAAAATCCTCAATAAAGCATCAAAATATATTTCCTTTTAACTATTATACCACAGTCCAGTCATTTCGTGGTATTTAACTTTTTAAAAACATGTGATGATGTTATATAACTCTGTAACTTTACACATCTCTCTGTCAAAAACACTCACCCTGTTCCTAGGAACTTTTATATTTTATGTTTTAGTCCCTTAGTTATTACCCCTCCCAAAGTACTCAAATTTCTATTCACTAGATTATTTGTTGGAATGTCTCTCTCTCCTTCTGACACTAGTTCCCATTATAAGGTCTGTTTTAGTTACTGATTATTAAGGTTTATAATGTGGATGCATGAATGCATAGCAAAATGGAGAAAGATAGGATGCGGGCAGAGCAGATGAATTGCAGATAATAGGAATGGAATATAAAGAAAAATATAAAAAGCATTTTAGTGGAAATGGTCAGGAATACAAACTTTAGGCATTTACCAGCGAATATGAAAGAGTTAGAATTATATGGAAGTAAAACATGCATTGATTGTAGATATGCAGGGACCAGATAAAACATGAGGACATTAGATTAAGTGCAGGAAGATTGGAATTACATGAATAAGAGGTGTAATATTTGGGTAAAATGAACTTGATATATAGGCAATAAATCCAAAAAGAGATTAGGCAAAGATAACTTGAATATGGAAAGGATAGATTAGAAATAGATGATCAGAAATACTGTAGGGAAGGTAGGTAGATTATGAATAAATTAAGGACCACCTATGAGAGGAAAAGATAAGGAAGGTGATATTAGTCTAAGTATCAACAGAATTAACCAGACATGGAAGATATTTAGGAGTTTGGGATTTTATTAGGTGTAGAGAGGACTAATAAGATGGATATATTAGACATAAGTAAAGAAATCATGGGATAATTGACCACTTGAAGAGGAATCAGCATATAACAGAATCTACTCACTTGATTCAGATGTCATTGACTCATCAGGGTCCTCTTTGATGGCTGGGTTGTTTAGGAGAGGACTTAAAGGATGCATGTAAAAAAGAAGTTGAATCATCAGGACTAAGAAAGATGATACAGAGAGTCCACTTTCTCTTTGTCCTATGGCTAGAAAACACAACCAAGCTAGGAAAGACTCTTTTATCCTGCACTTTGCTCCCTCAGTCCCCATTTTGCCTCCCTCCTTCTGATGCTTTGGGATGGCTCCAAGGTAGAAGCCCAAGAGACCGAAAGAGGTACAAGAGGGAAAAAAAAAGACTGGGGCAGAGGACAGAGAAGGGGAATGTTTGGAAAGCTCAGGTCATAGGCTTTTATCAGGAAGTTTCATGAAGGAGAGAATGTCAAGATACTCCTACGATCTCATACTTCCCTCCCTTGCCTTCCTGTTCCTTTTCAGTCTCCCCTTTCTATTATGACATACTCCCGCTCAAAAGAAAGACAAGGGCTGATATTCTAACTCTGATATGTAATTTTGGGCAATTTATTTAGCCTCTTCAGGCCTTACATTCCTAATCAATATAATGGGATTCATATACCTCACAGGATTGTTGAGAGGAGTCAATGTTATTAACTTATGTACAGAGCCTGGAACATGACAGGGGCTCATCAGTGCTAGACACTTCCTTCTTTAGCCCCTGATGCCATCTGGGTGATACTCATTAACTCCATGTTGTCATATGAGGAGCACTGAATTGAGAGTTAGGGTTTCTGGGTTTTAGTTTCATGTTTGTATTGGATATGATTTTTAATTTGGGGTTTTGTTACATGTGTTTGTTTTCCACAAAATGATACAAACATATAAAAATATTATTAAAGTGTTTTGAGGATTAAAAAACCCAAAATTTGTGACAAGATTTGGCACCCTATTCAATCCACAGTATTCAGTGTCATACTGAGGTCCAACAAAATAATTACATGGGATTCACAGTCACATAGCTTATGTTCAGCTATGTAACCTTGGGAAAATATTCAGACTCTTTGGGCCTCTGTTTTCTCAGCTGTAAAATGAGAACAATTCTAATATCTACTTCACCGAGTTGTTGTGAGGATTCAATGAATAATATATGAATGGAAGTTTTTTAGAACAGCACTGGGAGCATAGTATTTCTCAGTAAATATTAGCTGCTGTTGAAGGATATTTGTTGAATCTGAGTCTGTTGGTATAGGAGAAAGAATTATTCATGAGAACATTGGAGATTTAAGAGGAGGATTTTTGAGATTCTGAGTTTTAAGTAGGATTTTTATAGGTAATTGGGTGAAAACATTTCTCAAAATTTAAATAATTAGAACAAAATGAGTATGATTGGGCAGTGAT